TTCGATCCCTTTCAATGATGTGTTGACATAGATGTCGAAGAACATAAATATGCCACTTAAATCATCATTAATATGCAATGCCAAAAACATCTAACCTTCACTTATAGTTTGCATGATGTAAACAACCTTTTTTATCATATTATCAAACACTTTTAATAATCTTTTCTCTTTGTTCATTAAGTAAACATTGAGGAACTCTACAACCTTTATCTATTGCTTGTATGGAAGCCTAATTTTGTAATATTATAAATCATGTCATCTAGAGTTTTATTCATTATAAAAGTAACATATGTGTAATTGAGAAAAATGAAGTATATGTTAAGAAATTTACATTGTGAGTAGTAATTTTAGGTAGCCTGCAATTATCTATAATGCATACTAGTTTCTTCAACTTTGAAGATTTTATAAGTTGAATTTTGTGCTCAATTTATATGAGCTTAATTGAAAGCTCTTCTCAACTCTTCTCTAAATGTACAAGTTCATAAATATTTTGCTTGACTTTCACTTAAGGCTAGAAACCAAAACAATAAAAAGAAGCTCTTATAAAGTGAAAGGGAAATATATACCTTACACCACATCGTGAGCATAAAATTAATTGGGTTATTGAACCATCATCCTTACTTAAGTGTGCCAAAAATGGAATTGCTCAATGTCACGGATAAGGTTTTATTTTTGAACAATAAACTACCCAAGCTTGCATTCAAATATGACAAAGAAAGTTAAAGTGGAGTTAGAGGTGAAATTATAAAATTTATGCATTGATCTTTTAGTAGGCCAAGATAAGTTTGTTGATGTCCAGAGATCCCCTCGCATAGATATGGCTAATTAAAACATTGATATGGTAAATGGGATCATTGCAAAAATAATTGTTAACACACTTCATCAAAGCCATATACCAATAGTTACTATCAATAATTTGGAATATTGTCTTTGCAAGTTCCCGAGTCTCAAGATGGTTGATAAGCATGTTATTGAATTCAGGAGATTTCCTCTTCTAAATAAGATCCTAGCTATTTATGATCTCAGGTATGATGGTAATAATTTCCATTGCTTTTAGCAGTAGAAAGAGACTAAAAACATATTAATATTCATCACAATGCCATTTTGTTTGAACAAGCTAACATACTTGAATGTTGTACGCACAAAATTTGTTTGCTGCAAATAGCAAAGAGAGATTTCTTTAATCAAGTCATTAAGGCCTAACCACTTAAGCCCCTTAAATGTTTGGTAAATTATTGTTTCCCTTATTTGTATAATAGTCTTTTGGAAGTGCTTATACACCATGTTATCACGAAGGTTTATAGTTATTTTAATTCCAGGTTGTTTATTAGGTTCCCTATTGTGAACATTGCTAGATTCCCTAACTTCGGGGATTTGTTAGTGGTGGGCTAGTGAAGAGTAAAGGTGAAGGTAGTGGTGGTGATAGTGGTGGTGGTGGCAATGGTAGTAATAGAGAATTTTGATCTTGTATTAGTAGTGTAGTGTCCTAATTTGTTGGTGTGACTAGTGTTAAATTTTGTTTTGGTAGTGATAGCTACAAATCCTAATATAGGGATAAAGTTGGTGCATCCAAGTGTGTAAGAGATGGCTGTAGCAATGTGGTAATGTGATCTTTAAGTAATAGCATTTTTGTTGATGTGTCAATCAATATATCAATTGTAAAGTTTTTATCAATGTTGAATTTAACTTTTCATGCCCTCTTGGCTATGGCAACTTTTTTAGGTGGTACTATTTTTCTTTTTTGCACTAAGGAATTTTCATTAGTCAAAGTAAAAAAAGAGAATAAAAATGGAAAAAATTCAAACAATTCAAATTTCAAGAAAACAAAACAAAAAGGTGGTTGCTTTAGGCATTTTCACAACTACAAGTCATTTCTGCAGACCCTCATAGCTACTTGAGCTTGACCTTAGGCATTTTTACAGCTTGGGGGGCTAAAGCTATTTAAATAATCTTGGCCTCCTAAGCTGCAAAAGTGCCTGAGTTAGCTAGCCTGAGCTCAACTTCGGGCACTTATATGGCACAAGGGGCCAAGGTTATTTGAATAACCTTAGCCCTTAAGTTGCAAAAGTGCTTGAGATGGCTGCATTGAACTTGACTTTAGGCATTTTTGTGGCCCAAGGGGCTAATGTTATTCAAATAACCTTGGCCCCTAGGTTGCAAAAGTGCTCAAGATGGTTGGCCTAAGCTCAACCTTAAACACTTTTGCAACTTAAGAAGCTAAGGAAGTGCCTAAAGTGGCTAGTCCAAACTCAACTTTAGACACTTTTGGAGCCTAAGAGCCAAGGTTATTTAAATAACCTTGGCCTCTTAGGTTACGATGCCCGAGTAAAATGCCCAAACTAGTGCAAAATGTCTGAAATGGCCACCCGAGAAAAGGGAGAAAAAAGAAAAAAAGCAAATAAATGGAAGAAATTCACCCTTATTGGCATGTTTTTAGTCATATCACTCACTCTCAATCTCTTGAGTGTTAGATGTTCTTTTGCTCTTGTTGTCACTCTCTCGCGTGTTGCTTGATCTTTCAAGCACTCTAGATTTCTCATACGTTGCTTGATGACTCACTCTCAATTTCTTGTGCATTTGATTGTTTAACAACTTATAGTGCAAACATTTATGGCTACCCTAACCCTAACCAATCTTGCATCCTAGCTGTTTATTCAAAATAACTTAAATATCGGCTTTCTATTTCTTTATCACCACATCAGTATATCATAGATCTTATTTTATCTTATCATTATTATTTTATGCCAATTTATGGTTATATTTTAATGATAATATAACTAACACCTATCATACTTCTTTATTTAAAAGTGTTATTGGCATTGGGGGACAGATATCTTTTACCCTTTGTGAAATTCATGATTTAGATATAACACTCTCCTAGAAATGGTTATGGTTTTTAATGTTTGAAGGTTTTATGTTTGTAACAATTATGGTGGCATGATTCTTGCTGTTTGTGGATTGGCACGGGTAATCAATTGAACAGGTGTGCTCTCTCTCTCTCTCTCTCTCTCTCTCTCATATTAGGTTTTTATGGTCCTGCCCTTTTGTTGTGGCTGTAGATCCACTATCTAGATTACATATGTAGAAACATACTCCAGCGAAAGGCTCTTCCCATTTGTCATTTGAGGACAAAATTGACAATGACACCAATAAAATAGCTCTGGTATGGTTTAGCAACTTTGGTCAAGTCCACTAATGCATAAGAGTTTGCAAGTGAACTGAAAAAAAAAAGGGGGGGCATTATAAAACATTAACTTTTTGGGATGAAATTTTGAATGAGCTTCAATCATTGAGAAATGAAGTGGTAATAAACTTGCCTCCACGATGCTATGAGATGCTTATGCCATTATAGTGTAGGTAAAGTGCCAAAACAAGGCTGCAGACTTGAGAAAGGATCTGTCGATGGTAAAAAATGAGGCCCTGGCATGACCTTTATTTAGTAGTGAATTTCAGATTACTTGGTTGTCGCAAGCTTATGGTTGTCAAACAGCTCAGAGAGAAAAGGACTTGGAGTGATGCTTATGATCCCTTACAGAGGCCAAATATGTGGTTTTCAAAATTCTTTCAGCTTTGCATTTTAATTTCTCTCCTATGCCAGGCAGAAGCTAACTATCATTGGAGGCGCAAGTAGAACCGCACAGAAAAATCAGCTTGTGGAGAGCTTGGCTCACACGGTGAAGGGGAACAAAATTGAAGTGAAGCACTTGCTAATGGAGCCATTAGAGCATCAAAGAAAGTATCCTAGTTGGGGAGGAATAAGCAGCAAGATCGATTGGTGACGAGCTTTAAAGTATCCTTGTCTCAGGTTCTCGTTCCATACTACCCAATAGAGGCCCCGGGTCGCCGGTCTCAACCGCCCGGTTCTCGAGTGCAACGACCAAGGCGTCGAATTTGTGGTAGCATTTGCCAATGCGAGCTTCCACGACTGGAGCGATTCCATGAAGCACTGCTCAATCGAGCATGAGCTCAACCCGGCACAGACCGAGATCACAGATCACAAGAATTTCCCGCAGCTCAAAGTCCAGGCAAGTCCGGAGACTTTACGTTTACCTGTTCTGACCGTGTTTGCAGGTCACCAAGTTCCGGTGTGGCAGGATCGCCCTCGGCCTCGTCACCACCCACATTGTCACCAACGGCTCGTCCATCTTTGCGTTCTTCAAGGCCTGGTCGGATATCCATCAAGGATTGCCACCGCCGAATCCAATGCCATCATTCGACTCCAGCATCCTCAGGGCCCGAGATCCCCCCAGCATCAAGATGCCCATCCGGGACTACGTCGCGGTGCCACCGTCCCTGGCCCAGGATCACACTGGAAAGGATATCTCTCCCAAATACCACAACCGGGCATTCCACATGAGCGAGCTCCAGCTCTCGCATCTCAGGCACGAGATCACGTCCGGCCCATTCTCCTACGGCAGCTTCCCGAGGCCGTGGCAGCCCTCGTCTGGAAATCCATCAGTGAGGCGCGGGATCTCGTCGACACCGCCATCGCCACATTCGTCTACTCGGGCTCTGCCAAGGCCGGCAAGAACCGGCGGCATCCCGGACGAGTTGTGCGGCACCTCCGCCATGACCCGTGTCCGGCGCGCGACCTCAAGAACAAGCACATCTCCTTGGCCGCTCGCGTCGTCCACGACGACATCCGGGCCATCACCCACGAGCGATTCCATTCCACCATTGACTGGATGGAGCTGGAAGGAATCGGCAGCCCCAGGAGATCGCGGTCAACATGAGGGCCGGGATGGCGGTCTACTCCGTTGACCTGGTCACCTTCCTCTACGACGTTGACTTTGGGTGGGGGCGGCCCGCCCACTTCTCGCTGGTGCTGGAGCCGTGGTATGGCAACGGGGTGGTGGTGTTTCTTCCCACTGCCCAGGGAGGGACGCGAGAGCGCCGCATTGTGGTCATGCTCCTTGACGATGAAATGAAGAGGTTGCTGCAAGTTGAGCTCCTCGCCAAGTTCGCCACCTTGGAATGAAGGGTTCTCGTAGAGATTCGAGGCAAAGCAAGTAAATTCGTTTCAACGATCGTTTCATCGATCGGAGCAGAGTAGATACAAGAATCTCGGATTCTCGAGCAAAACAAGAATGCGATCCGAGAGGGAGAGAAACTAAGAACGAGGGTCGATCCGTCCGTGAGAGAGGAAAGAAAGGACAGAGGCCATCGTCAAGGAGAGTGAGAGGACTCGGCGGCACGAGCGGTGCACATCCTGGAACACGGAACCCTCATGAAGGCTTGGCTCGTCCGGGACGGCACCTCCTTTCCCTTGCCAAGCTCCGGCAGCGGGAGCTTGGGCTTGGATCGATGAGCATCGTTGCCGGTGGGGGCGGGCTCTCCAGATCTTGGCACCTGGATCAAAGAATGAAGGAAAAGAATCACATTTTCGTTCCATACCTTTGCGACGCGAGGAAACATCTGTGCGAACCACGCCGCTGGCAGCCACGCCCACAGGATCTGGGCCGCCGTTTCTCGGATCGGGCCATAGACCAGCTCCGTGACCGGTCCCTGGATCGTCCCTGTGATCATCCTGTTGATCGGCCCCTCGATCATCCCTGTGATCGTCCTGTCGACCGGGCCCTCGATCATCCTTGTGATCGTCCTGTCGACCGGGCCCTCGATCATCCCTGTGATCGTCCTGTCGACCGGGCCCTCGATCATCCTGGTGATCGGCCCCTCGATCATCCCTGTGATCGTCCTGTCGACCGGGCCCTCGATCATCCTGGTGATCGGCCCCTCGATCATCCTGGTGACCGGCCCCTCGAAACTAAATTTGATCACCATCCCCGCCAGCATCGATACGAGCAGGGACTTCGCCAAGAACTTCGCCGCGTCCCAGCCCCAGCCCATCGCTCCGCCCGCGCGCTTCCTCCCCTCCAAGAAAGAAAACTAGGGCTCCTACCCAAGAAACCATGGCAAAGGGGAGGGATTCATGATTGCGCTGTCCACCTGGATGGTTCACGCTACACGGTTCTTGCAAGAAGAATTTCTTGTATAGCCAATGTGCTAAACTTTCGATGAAAAACCTTCATATTGGTCAACTACTGGCACATGAAGCGTGATGGCTGGCCGAGGAAGCTGAAGTGCTCAAGGACGAGGAGCTAGGGGTGCGCTGAAAGTTGGAGCTTTGTCTTGTGAAATCTTCTGAAGCTGGGACGTGTTGCGGCTGGCTGGAAGCTGGGGTGGACTATCACGAGGACGTGTTGCGGCTGACTGAGAAAGCCATTTGAATCAATCGAGCAGCATCGCCCAAGCCCACTATCACCTTTGATTCGGAAGAAGGACGCCTGGCTACAGAGGGGACGGGGGCTGGATCATGCCTCCAGCGCAAACCGGGCAGATTCGTACGTGAATTGTCCGAGCTTGATCTGGGGCTTCCATCTTGCGATGGCGTGCCTGGTCGTAGATTTCCACGTTGATGCCGGGTTCACTTCTTTGCAGTAGTTCGTCAAGTGCTCCCTTCGCTGGATTGTAGTGCGATGTAGAACCATTGTTCCAGCTTTTTGTCAAGGATTTTCATACTCCTCGCTCTAGAAGTGATGGACTTCATCTTGCCCTTGTATTGTGATTATCTTGGTTTTGGTTAGTTATGGCTTGATTGTAAGTGATCTTGGGATCTTGTCTGTTGCAGCTATGCACTTGGCATTTTGTGAATTGGCGTAAGCAACAGCTTGACATATAGTTATATTTTTATAGGCCTATGGCAGCGAGAGCTTGGGCTCGCATCAATGAGCATTGCTGCCAGTGGGCAGAGAAAAGTTCTATATAAAGAGAAATATGATGTACATAATTGAAACCAGGCATAAGAATCGATCCAAACTAACCGCGCTCCAGATCTTGGCACCGGTCACCAAGCCTGAAGATGAATCAGAGAATTGGATCAAAGGAAAAAGGATCTCATTTTCGTTTCATACAGTGAACCATGCCTCTGGAAACCATGCATAGACAGTCCCTGTGATCATCCTGTTGATCGGTCCCTCGATCATCCCTGTGAGCAGACCGTCGATACTAACTTTGATCACCAGCGCCGCTAGAGCACGGACTTGGCAAAGAACTCCGCCCGCTCCCTCCCTTCCAGGAAAGAAAACTAGGAACCATGACCATTTGCCTGACCCTTGCCAAAAAATCTAGAAGAAATTTGATCTTGAAACGATCTCCTCAAGCCTACCGTTGGATTTTCTTCTACACTTTCTATCAAGTGCCTTCTCTATGGACAAAGAATGCTTCTCGGTCTAGGGCGTTCCTTAATCGCAGTCCAGCCCAATAAACGAAAAGTCTGGAAGTATTGTCAACTTTGGTCAACATAATCCTGAAGCACTGGCGAGGTCGTGAGCTCATTTCGAGTACATTAGATCAAACAGACATGGTGGCTTCCACAAGCTCGGTAAGATTAGTGTCCGTAGTCCAGATCCCATCTCCAACTTCTACTCGGAACGGAGGATTTGAGCAACGGCAGCTAATGCATGTAAGTCGAGCCATTCGTTTCTCTCGTTCGCAGGAACAGTGGAAGATGCAAGCCGACCAAGAAATTCAAGTTTGCTGTAAGGATAGTTATAAATTATTATCATTGTTTCCTAAACTGGAAAGTGTTCTCTACACAAAACAGCAAATTAAAATGTAATTTATTCTACATATTAATTGGAACTTGGGCTTGGATCCATGGTCGTTGCCAGTTCCCCAAGCCTGGATCAAAGAATTAAAACGAATCTCACATTTTCGTTTCATACCTGAGAACCACGCCCGTCTCTCGGATCACGCCATAGACCAGCTCCGTGACCGGTCCCTCGATCATCCCTGTGATCAAGCTGATCTCAATTAGATTAGTCTTGTTGGTTCGGCCAAGCACTGTCTTTAGTGCTAGATAATTATATGTCGTACCTGACTTGCGAAGATAAACATTAGAATCTGCTGAAATACTCACAAAACCAATGGAGAGTAGATAGCTGTTCATCTTCGCATACCATTGCCATGGAGACTGCTTTAATCCATATAAAGCCTTCTTAAGCTTGCACACCTTGCGTACAACATATCCTTCTGGCTGAAGGACATAAAACTCCTCGTCAAGATCGCCATAGAGAAACGCTGTAGCTGTTCCACTCTTTCTCGGCTGCAACCTCTGTCACTAAGGTTCTTCTCCATGAAGAAAAACTGCATCTGAGTTCGCCATCCATGGAAATCTCTACCATAAAAAACTTCCATTGTCTAAAGCCATCCCAGAAAACCTAGTGCTCCTGGATTAGGCTTTAGGCATGGTTCACTTTTCATCACACAAAGGAAAAACACACCCCCTTAACTGCCTACCTCTAGAGAAACTCAAGTGAGAAGTGTCCTGGGGGTCATGCGTGATACAAATTATTCTCCAGAGCTCAGTAACACATTGGAGCCCCAAGAGTCCCTGCCATGCTGCAAAACATGTCGTCTCTGCAGTTACTCTTGCTCTCAAACAGCAGCTTCAGTGGCTCCATCCCGGCTTCCCAGGCTCACGAACTTCCGAGCCATTGACTTCTCGGTTAACAGGTTCTCGGGGGAGATACTGGCAAGCATTGGTCGACTGTTTGCCAACGTCACACTGTGGAAACTTTACCACATGAGCAGCACCACCCCCTACCCCGTCTATGTTTTCCCAACAACCATAAACTTCTCCTCCAAACAGCAGAGTGGAGGCATTCCAGCGGTCATTGGTACTGTCTACCAGGTGCTGGATTTGACACTGAGTGGACGACTTGGGCCCGAAAGTAAACACTCTCACGCTCTAGTTCAAGGAGAGCAAAACCCACCTTGAGCGTTCCAGTGTCTCGTACACGCAGAAGTTTATCGCAATCGTTAGGCCTACGGACTGGCAGAAGTCAAGTCTATGGCGTTTTGCACTCGAAGAACGTACCGGCCAGAGTCCCTTGTATGGGCCAAAGCTCTCCTGTTGATGGATTGTGGAAAGCTTGCGATAGATGCCCGTATATTGCTTTGAGGTCTGCAAATCACAGACCTGCCAGGTGAAGAGCAAGGCGCAAAATAACTCCCAACAAACTCTCTGTCATACTTCAGCTAAGAGCTTCTCAGGAATTGCCTGGAACATCCCTTGCATCATCTTTTGCACTACTAGACAAATATCTGTGGCCACTAGCATTTGAACCCTCTTTATATACTAAGGCATATATAAAGTCCAAATCAAAGAGTTTCATGCTTGGATGGTCAAACAAGTAAATATAAAGTAGCTACAAGACAAGTGGAACTGTAAAAATAAGATAAATAGGCTATAATTTAGCTAGGAGGCTAGGAATTAGTTTACATGTGTGCAATAAAGAATTGGCAGGCTAAAATTAAACAAGATGTGGTAGTACAGTTTGACAAGTCAAAAAACATAAGATAATATATATATAAAAAAACTATGAGTATGACTAGTCACTACTAGAATGTATATGTTTTGAATATTCAATGATGTGGCTGCTGGATTGCTACAAAACTAGATTGGGTATAACTTTCTTGGGTCACACTAGTCTTTCCTGGCCAAATTATAGAGTCCAACCTCTCCCCCCCCCCCCCCCCCCCTTCCATATTATACTTTTAGAACCTTTAGTAGCCTTCCCACCTCATTACGTATATTAATATTTGGACTCGGACTTGGTCTTGGTCTCGGTCTTGGTCTTAGTCTTGGTTTTAGTCTCCACCTCAGACTCCACTTCGAACTCCACCTTAGACTCCACCTTGAACTCCACCTTGGGCTCTATCTTAGTCTTGGGCTCCATCTCAGTCTTGGACTCTATCTCAGATTCCATCTTAGACTCCTCACACTTGGTCCTAACATTTCCACGTGTCATTACACTTGCCATATGTCAATTCTTTTTGTGTCCCTTTTTAGAGACTCATTCATTAATCACTTTATATTTGTTCCTTGACCACTTTGTTAGGAGTTCCACTCCCGCTCTCGACTTTTTCAGTCGAAGTTTTTGGTCCAAACATGTTATGCTCATTGAACTTCTATTTCAACCACTACCTTGTGACACACTTTTAACTCCACTTTAGGGTTTAAGGATTTATGTCTCATATAAGTTTGCCAACTTTTACAGTTTCATAGTAGATAGGGCTAGGGCTAATTGGAATGGCATTTAATGATCAGCCCTTAAAAGGTCATAAGAGCACTTTTGAATTCCACTAAGCTCAAAACCTAAACTAACACTACCACCTTATTAAGCTAAATTTCCAATTAGCAATTAAGGAGTTTTGCAAAAAATGGTAAATTGTACTTTCTAAAGAAGAGCACAAAGCAAAAATAAACAAGATTTAAATGTAGTGTTGTGAAGATGGTTATATAGATATAAGTTGTCTACCACAACTCGAGTCATGGTTGGGGTGGTGGAAAGTTAAGATATTTTAGTGGGGACATCACTCTTTTCATATTGATTTTTTTTATTGCTTTTTAATATCACCTTTTCATTATGACCAACCCTTCTATGCACTCTAACTATTAATTTCTCCAAAAGTAAGCAGTAAAGTAGGGAAAGGGAAGATGAGTTTATATAAAGTATGTGTATTAGAGTTGATATGTGCTATAAAGTGATCTTTAAAAGCCATAGCATTCAAGAAAGAAAAATATATGAGAACAAAGCCTTCTCTTGAAATGTTACATGACGAGATGAAGAGGAAAATGACTCTACTAGCACAAATAGTGGCAACTATAATGCAGGAAGTGGTCTATGGCACATTTATAGAGTACACTCCTTGGGCTTTTATTAATGAGATGAAGACTGCCCACTCAAAGTGTCATTTTTCCGTAAAATGTTGACACAGATTTTGGAGAGAAAAACTCTTATAGGCTTGATGTTGAGTACCATTTTGCTCCAAGACACTACCCCTCAAAGTGAGCCATCTCAAATGTCTAATGAAGAAAGTGCATCATAACAGGTTGAAATCACTTATTATAACATAGAGTTGAGACAATAGACAATCTATCAAGTGTAAGTAATCCAATATAAGGTATGTGGGAATGTTGTAAGCTCCTGAGTTTGGACTTCCCAGGAGGTCACCCAACCCAGTACTATTCAAGCCCAAGAACATTTAACCCCAAGTATCCTAAGACCCTTAACCGATTGAAAAAGGGGGTGCACTCTTGTTTATGGGCCCTTTCCCTTTATATTTGAACTCCATGGATTGTCTATCAAATCGTTCTTTTTGGTTGCTTACAATCCACTATGCTTCCCTACAAGTTCACGCCCTCGTGAACGGAAGTTGAGAACCGCAACACTCCTGAGAGCCTTGCTCTCTTTACACCCTACCCCTTGGGAGCAAACTGGATCAACCAAATGTTAATCAACATGTGGCGCGATTCCCTTAGCCAACCAACAGAGTTGGACCCGAGACCCCTCTAATACCAAATGTAAGCTTTTGAGTTTGAACTTCCCGGGAGGTTACCCAACCCAGTACTATTCAAGCCCAATGACGTTTAACCCCAAGTATCCCAAGACCCTTAACCGATTGGAAAAGGGGGTGCACTCTT